TATATATATATATAAAAAAAAAGAAGTACATGTTTACCTGCATAGACTGTGGGCTGGTAGATCCTTTCATCATGAGCAGCTGGAAATGTTTCTCTACACGTTTGTGTGCTGGAGACAGTTGTTGTCTTGCTGGGTGTAGCATGTTGTTGTTTGTTCTCTGTACACTTGACCTCTTTTCGAGGGTGGGGGGCAGACAGCATGTACCTTCTCTCCCTCTGCAATCTCTCCACAGTTCGGCTCAGCTCCTGGATGGTCCGTGTTTTGGTGGAGAGCTCCTGGCTCATGCGTTCTATCCTAACTCCGAAGGCTACCTCGGCTTGGCGCTGATGTCTACTTGGACTCTGAGCCTGCAAAATCAGCAATTTTAGAAGTTTAAAATGCTCAGTAGAATCCCTGAAGAGTATTGCTATCACAAAGTTGTAATATGGGAATGGTGGTCTCAGATATTTGACAAAAGAAATCTTAAAATAATACATATTTTCCCTCTTCGATGATTCATCTCTGCACAGCGGCAACAGTGTAGCAGAACTTCAAAATGTTGCGAATCCTGTACTGACCCTGCTTTTGATTTGTTGCTGCAGAGACTTTATCTGCTCCTGGAGGATTTTCTCTTTCTCCATGTGACTCTCCCTTATTTGCTGCAGCTCTGCCTCCAGACTTTTAACAAGCACCTTCTCCTCAGCTGCTGGGATTGGAACTCCAACCTGCTGTTTCTGCAGCAATTTCTGCTCCATCTTCAGTATCTGCTGCTCGTAGCAAACCTGGATGAAAACATTACATTTCTTTATTTCACATTTCAAAGTTGAAAAAGAAAATAATCAAATTGTTTTTTTGTTTTCTTTATTTCACATTTCAAAGTTGAAAGAGAAAATAATCAAATTGTTTTTTACTTTACCTTGACATTGTGGAATCGTTGCTCCATTGCTCTTAAATTGCGTTTGGCCTCCTCATCATGACTCTCCAGCTCAGCTTCTAGACACTGTATCCTGTGCTCCAGCAGATCAGTGACCTTTTTGGTTTGAGATGCAGCCTCCTCCTCATTTTCAGCCTTGGCTGCAGCATAGATGAGAGCAGGCAGGGAGTTAGGATTTCTACTCCTGAGTATATGCTCCAGTTCCTTCACCTGGTGAAACAGAAAAAGACCCTCTGAGAAATGTGGAGAAAAAAAAAAACAGAGAGACTTTTAAGGCGCACTCGTGGCAGAAACCTGTCGCTGTAGGTCGTGCATCTTCCTCAAGTCCAAAGCTTTTTCCTTTGCTTTCCTCTGCTGCTGGCTGCTATTTTTACTGACCTCAAGCTTTAGTTTTTCTACCTAGGTAGAGGAAAAAAAAAAAAAAAAAAAAGTCCACATATTTAGTACAGACAAAAGATCAAAATCAAGTTTTAATTTGCATGTCAATTCACTTCAAAAGTAACTTTTGAAATATAATATGTAGACTATAATTGGCACATCTTGGCCATATTATTTGGTCTTTAAATGGGAGAATAATGACACACATGGCAGTCCACTTTCAGTGTAGGCCAGATAAAAATCTGCAGGCCACAGGTAACATATTCTTCACTCAACCTAATTATTTCATTGTCGGTTCGATCTGGAAGCCTCGAGTCTCACCTGCTCTTTGAGCTGCTGTATCTCTGCAGCCGCTGCTCCCAGTCTGGCTGCATCTCTGTCCTGAAGCTCCTGGTTGTCAGTAAACCACTGCAGCTTTTTCCTCAGAGCAGACACTTCCCCACTGTGTGTGTCCTCCAATATTTGCACCGCGTAGCTCCTATCACCTGACTCATTTAAAAGGTGGTTTTTGTTTATATTATTCATTTAATCACCAGTTTCAGGAAAAACAAACTCCCAGTTAACATATCTTTGCCAAAGTATTTCCCAGAATCCTGGGTAAATCAGGTTGTCTTGCTTCAGTGCTCTAACATGTCTCTCACCTGTAGAGGAGATGACCTGAGCTATAGCCAGGTCTCTCTCTTTCTTCATCAGCTGCAGGTCAACATCCAGAGCCTGCTTCTCCTGCTTCAGTCTGTGAAGCTCTTCAGACAGCAAAGCCTCATTCCTCTACACACAGACACAGACTGTGGTTTAGTGGATAGTGTAAAGGAAGGAGCTGCAGTTTTCTCACTGTTGTAATCCTTACCTGTAAAGTCTGAATTTGAGCCAGCAGGTCTGCCATGCGTTGAGCGTGATCCTTCAATTGTGTATTTCCGACAAGTCTAGTGATGTTACTCTGATGTTCTCTGAAAACATTGTTACAGAATTATTACAGTATTTATACCTATTATTTGTGGTCTTTTAAAAATATCAGACAGTGAATCTTGCTTCAGTCATATTTTTTTTTGTTTAGAGTTATTTCACACATTTACCCACACCACCCAAGCAAAAATGACCCAAAAAGTGTGTGTGTATATATGTGAATTGAATTACTCAGTGTGAACCCTGGGCTGTTGAGTTGAACACAATGCTGATTTACTCACAACAAAAAGAAAAACAAACGTGAAGATGTTCTTCAAATGCTCTGAGTCTCTTTTTTAAATTAAATTGAATACCCTATGCTGCCACCTAGTGGAACTGTATTTTATTGTTCTGCCTGTGACTATCACAATTTAAAGTTTTCAGACCAATTAAGCTAATTTTGATCATTTTCCACAGCAGACTATTGTACCATAGCACAGAGGTTGGAAATCGTTGATCTAAACTGTAAAAAACAATACTGAACTTACTTTAGATAATTCAGTTCACTCAGCAGGTGCTGGTTTTCCCTAAACATGGCCTCGTGGTTGGCTTTGGTCTTTGCCTTCTGATCTTTCACCTCCAAGTAGAGTTTCTCATTCTCCTGTAAACATCACAATATTATTATTTTAATCACAAATAAGAAATTCCTTAGAAACTCTACTTTCATTTTATACACAGTTACTTGGAAGTAGTCATGTCATTTCATGTTGAACAAATATTCTTCCATAAGTAAAGTCCATATGGAAGAGAAAAACAGGAAGTGTGAAAACATTGAGAGTAGAAGTGTAACAGGGGGATGAACCTGTTGGTAGCCCTTTATTAGTGTCTCCTGCTCCTTCAGTTCTTTTTCCATCTGTTTGAGTGTCGCCTCTGTCGTGGAGTCTGTAGCCTCAGCCCATCTATTCGTCTGACTGACTTCCTCTGCACTTCTGAGCTAATGAGTAAAAAAAAAAAAAAAAAAAAATCACAGTATTCAATGTGAATCAACAATAACGAAAAAAAAAAACAACCAAAAAACATTCCCATCGTTTAGTACAATAAGATGTCTGCGGCACGGGCACAGTACTAACAAGTTGACATTTTAGCTGAGCTGCCAAAATATCCTGGCTTAGAATGCTTTTGCACCTTGCTCTGCAGGAGGTACATTTGTTGTCGGAGTGAATGGACCTCCTCTGCTGCTGCTGTCATGAACTGCAGCTCGTGTTCTTTCTCAGACAGCTGCAGTCTCAGATGTGTCACTAGAGAGCTCTCATCCTCCCTCTGCAAGAGAGAAAAACATTTTTTTTGAATGCACCATCTTTGTCTATCACCAAAGACAACTCTTACTGTCTCAACAGTAAGACTGACAGCTGTCTCTATCGCTCTCTTTAGTGACAGGCAGAAACAAACTCATGAACATGATCTGCATGAATGTTCAATTTATTACAACAAAAACATTACCTCTTTAGTGACAGGCAGAAACAAACTCCTGAACATGATCTGCATGAATCTTCAATTTTATTACAACAATTATCTTTTTAAAACATTATTCTACTAAACATGTATAAAACGTAATTAGAATACTATTTCAAGTCTATCATTAAAGGTTACGTCTTACAGTAATTTCTGGAGGATAATAATGTGGGACAGTTTTGTTCTGCGGACTGCTGTCTCCCATCTGCTGTTGGAGGACAGTCACTAAAGACTGAACAGAAGACACCAGCTCACTGCTGCGAAAAATAAAAAAAAAAAAAAAAAAAAAAAAACAACAAAAAAAAAAACACAATTAAACACAAACATTTTAAATTATATTAACATGGTTAACTGAAAACTTAGAAATAGAAATTCAGGATATGATCTGGAGTGAGTGAGGGTTTAAATAGGATACATGTTGTGTAGCAATGGTGATGTTCGATCAGCTGAGCTGTGATGCGTCTGTTTTCAGAGTGGCTTCAATGACAATTCTTATGCATCACCTCTGACCTGTGTGATTTTCCTTTTCTTGGTTCTTTGTTGGTTTGGGTTTCAGTGGTTGCTGCACAGAAGAAGGTCTAGTTGTGGCAGCACCTCTGCTAATGTATGACCATCTGGAGGATGTTCTCTTCTCTACAGCATTCCCTCTTGATGGAATCACACTGGGTTTCCTCACTGATGACAAAGCAGGACGAGAATTGGTAGGAACGCGGGAGGTCTGGAGAAAATGCATTAATCAGACAGTGTTACAAAATCAAATATTTATTTTGCAGCATTATTTACATTATTTAACACTGGTGAAAGGAACTAACCATCTGTTTCTTAGATTTCTGGGTCTGAGATGACTTCAATGAGAAAGCCTTCTTGTGATCCTCCATCAGCTTCTCTACTTCCTCTCTGATGCTAAACATTGGCTCGTTACTGAGAAGGTTTTGTGGGTCAGACGGATGGTGGGTCAGATCCTTAATGTTTGTTAACCTTGCAGCATTTCCTTCTTTTCCTGCCAGCTTCAGCATTGGCTTTGTGTATGTTCCATCACTGAAAGGTTTTCCTTGGATTGCTTGTTCTCCAGCACTTGACATATTTGTTTATTTATTGTTATGAAAAAAATACAAATTAAGTTATTTATTTATTTATTTTTTACATCAAGACAAAATAAGTTAATACAATGATATGTAATTTTGACCATTATGTTTATCCTCGTCCATAAAAAACAAGCATAAAAAAACAATTCTAATAAACTTCCCTGCTGTACAGGTTGCATTCTTACATGACACTTTTGAACAATTTCCACATTATCATCTTTACCTGACAGGCTGAAGGGTGAAGCCTCTTATATGATCTTCATCGATTCGAATGGGCCTCATCAGCTCCTCAGCAGTGGGTAGATCTGAAGAAAAACAGGGAAAAATATTCCATCTGTGTCGATTTTCTTACATCGGTAAAATTGGGATAAGGAGGATGCAGTAAGGCTGCAATTTTTTTCTAAAATTGTTTTTTGTTATCGTGTTTGTTATATTGTGTTGTAATACCAATACGATTGTAGTGTCTTTAGACCAACAACGGACAGGAAGACACAAACTTTGTGTCGTCATCCTGGTGAGGGTGACAGAGAGACAGTATCTGACCTGATTCATTGGTTGAACCCTGCTGCAGCGACTGTCTGTCCTGATGATAAGGAGGAGCTGGAGACCTGGAATCGTGCATCTTCCCTCGTCCTTCCGCAGATGAAGTGTGTTGGTAGTGACCAAAGTCATCAGAAGTCTCCACCACGTGGATCTGTCTGTAGGCCTCATGAAGAGCCTCAGCGTCTGAGCCTCCACTCTTCACGTGCACGTTACCTGCAAGAATTCAGTGATTTGTATTAAAACTATCCATTATAGCAATTGTTACCAAACCTTCACTGCAGTGCTTAATGTAGATCCACTGAACTTTGTAAAATTGTAAATCTTAAATACTGATATTCTCACAAAAGAAGAAATAATATAACAAATCCATATTTTTTGTACCACCATGGCAAAATCAATTGTAATGAATTTACATGTGTATGATGGGAAACATTCAGAGGATTCAAGATCTTTCTGCAGCAACGTCAAATCATTTAGAGTGTACAAACCAAGTCTGACAAACAAAAACATGACTGTACTGTAACTTTGTCACGTGGGGGAAACGACATGGCAGGAAGCAGGCAGGGCCCAAATGCAGTACAGGTGCAGGACGTTTTATTAACAAAGTCCAAATTAACGAAACACAAAGACCTACCAGGCATGCAATTCCCTTTGTAACACGGAACACGAGGAAACAGAACAGGAAACTCATGAACTGCTACAGAACACAAACAGCCTGACAGAACGAACTGAACAATGATCCAACCAGGACAGAGTGAGGGAGAGGGGTATAGGCACAGGGAGCACCAGGTGACACAAATGAAGCTAATTACCAACAGGTGAGTGTGATCAGACTGATTACTCCACAAAGCAGACAACAGGAAAAGGAAACAGACAGACATGACAAACTTAGCTTTGTAAAAGATGAGAAGCTTATACACATTTTATTGTAAAAAGAAACAAACTGTAAAACCTTTATCCAATGACTCTCCTGTGTCCTTCCTTCTATCATCTCCACCAGTGTCATCCAAGGTATCAAAGAGAGAAACTGAGACAAACACAGAGCATTTCTTAGACAATGTCACTGACAGTAGCTTTACATATTGCAATTGGTGCAAAATATTAAGAAATATTTGTTTATATGTATTTGTTATTAACTTTTAAATCCAAATATATGCTGAAGAATATAAATAGATTCATAACTGTGGACTGCAGCTCATAATGATTTAACTGTAATGATTAAAGGTCTATTTTATATTATTGAAGTATATCCAAATATTATCTACATTTTCACTCACCTTTAGCCATAATTGATGACAGTGCAGGCTTCTGAAAAAAAGGACATTAAAATAAACTGTGATCACTGTACACTTATGCTATTCAAATTAATTGACTGCAGTGCTTAATGTCTTAGAAACATTGAATGGAAAAACAAGTAATATATATATATATATATATATATATGCAGAAACACAAGAGTAGCACAAACAACGGGAAAAACAAATACAAATTGAACAAATTCAGAGTAGCACAAACAACGGGAAAAACAAGAACAAATTGTGTTTGTGTATGTACACAGAGCATTTGCTTTACTGTCAGTTTAATAAATACTGTGTTTGAGATGACAAGCAGGGTTTTACTTTGACCCTCATGCTTGTCATACAGGATGACTACAGACCTCCTCGTCCCTCTCGTCCTCATTTTTCTCTTCATTTTGTGTCTCTTTCTCTTTTTCCTCATCTTCAAAGTCTTCACTGTAGGTGGGAGAACCTTAATATCAACATGTAAGACATTAGTATTTACACTGAGCAACACTAAGGACGATCAGTGACGTCAGTCAAGGTTCCATTTCCGTTACCTGGAGAGGGAGACTCTGGGAGTCTGGGTTTTCTAAAACCCTCATCACTCTGCTCAGTTGCTTCCTCTGCTTTCCTAGAGAAAAAAAGCCATTGCATTTAAACCCCTTAGCTTTAGGGACAGAGACATGGCACAGGAACTTTTAAAGTTCACCATCTGGCTGCTGAGAACAACATCATACCTGAGGAGAGATTCGCCGGTAGAAAGAGTCTCGCCCAGCTCTCTGTTCAGTTTGGAATAATCTATCGATGATGAGGCCCCGGCTTCCAGGTGGGCAAAAAAGTCAGCTTTCTCTTCTTCTTCTTCCAGAGTGTCCATGCCCACCGCCATCATGTTGACTGCTGGAACCTGCTCTGAGTCTGAACACACATCTAAGGACACACACAGGTGACAATGCTATAGTAGAGTTGTAACTTTTTACTGACACAAAACAAAAAAAAGAATAGAAGAGAATATGAGAGTACAAAAACAGAGCTGAAATTTAAATATAATCTACCTTTTGGTTAAAAAAGAGGACACAACTATTTTGGTCATGAAAAAATACATTGGTGAAAATGTAAACAATAATATATGTAACAGCTTCATATTTATATCTCTGGCTATTTTTTTCTGCAAGAGAGTACATTTGTTAATGGGTAAATGTGGACTCACCCTCTGTCTCACCCTTTGTGGCTTCTCGGCTGAGAACAGATGCTTTCACGTTTTCTTCCTTCAAAATAAAACCTCCTGGATCGTCATCCTCCTCTTGAATAGAGTGAGACCTCCCTAATGTGTCCTTCAAAAACTGTCCATCACCTGTAAGTGCAAAGACAGATTTTTAGTGACAAGGACAAATTACGTATTACCTTATTTAATCTATGTGAAGGTTTATCATGATAAGACAATGTCAGATCAATAGGCTGGAGAGTCTTCTCAGAGTCTTGGTGACGATGTGAATCCTGGCCTTATTTGTTTGGCGACAAATCTACTCATTCATTTGTTTTCCTGCACACATCCAAAGTAATCATCTGGACTTTACTACATTTATAAGACACGTTTTTAACTTAATGTGTTTTTACCATCAGTCTCTGACGGTGGCCTTCTGGATTTTAAGAATCTTCTTGTTGTCTGCTCTGAAGAAGGGAAAGAAAAACACAGAGAAGTTTCCATCACATTGATTTTTCATCATCCTGTTGAAAGTGAGTTTTGCATAGAAGTATAATGGAAAAAAAAAGAACCTACTTTGTATCAACTTCTTGTTTTTTAAAAATAGATGGATTATGTCAGTGTCCTTGTGATTTCAATTCTTGACAAATACTAAACAATCACACATAGGCTTAACTTTCCTCATACCTCTTCCAGTTCCTTCTCTATTGTGCTCTTCATCTTGCCACCATAACACTGTTGATTTTGAGGGTGACTTCTGGCCACTTTTGGCACTTGATGGACGACGAGAGCTGCCCATGTCCACTGAGTCATCTGAAACAGACTGACATGAAACCAGTTTTAAAATAGTGCCATGTAAGAATTGGATGAATGTCTCTATAGCAGCATGTATATTCAGTTCACTTTTACTGGAAATTGCATTGTATTGAGTTGTATCAAAACTTTTTGATTCAATACTACGACAATACCAAATACCAGGTTTCTCATAAAATAGTGGAGCCCATAATGAGTCAGCAGCAAATGCATTTATGTAAATTTCAAAACCTTCATTTTGTAAATTAATAATTACAATACTAAATGCATTTAAATACAGTCCAATAACTCATAATCAGTGCACCTAGTTTATGTCCACTGTGGAAAAGAGTTTTTTTAACTCAACAGATTTCCAAAGGCATGCTTCAAGGCATCTCTGACACCTATTAATGATCAATATATATATATATATAAACAAAACGCATAATGTTGACATACCTCCCTTAAGAATTGATCAAACTGTGCATCTAGTTCCTCTTTAGTTAGTCTGTGAGACATAGTGATGAACTCCAGTCCATCAGCTGAAAGGAAAACAAACAACTGTCATGAAACAAAACATGGGAAACAAATGAGTCCTTGTGCTAATGTCTAACCACTGACAACCATATAACCAGATAATCATCACATTTTCATCTTTGACACCGGTTCTCCGGCTGTTGATAACTTCGTAATAGCTTTAGGGCTTTAACTTCGAAGTCTGGTGTATCACAACAATAGTAAACACAACTGTTTGTGTCGTAATTTTGAAATAGTTAAACTATAATATACATAATATTACTATACACGGGTATAGCTATCAAATTAAGCATTTCTGAAAAGGGACTGTTACCGTGCGTACGTCCTTTTGTGTCGCTGACTAAACGAGCTCGTATTTGTCCAGAACCTGACAGACTACAAAGCCCAGAGTTCTATTTTGAAGAAAAAAATAATATTATCCGGTATATATATATATATATTAAAACTCACTTACAACGCTTCCAACTAAACATTAACACGAGCTAGCACTTGTTGAACCATGTCTTTCCTTGTTTTGGTTTCTGAGCTCGGCGATTCCCGCGACACTTCGCGGGCGACAGCACTAATCCGATTGGTTAGAAGATGTTACGTCAAGAGACAATGTAAACCAATAGGAAAGTATGTTGCTTCGTTTCCTGCTCCACGTTACTCCGAGGACATTAACTAATCAGAGGCAGGAATGAGACAGCTGATTTATTTACTGTGAAGAAGTAGGTCTTTGTGAACTACTGATCGTCCAACCCGTTTGTTGTACAAATTACATTAAAATAATTTCTGAAAAATATATATGTTATATTATTAATATAATGCAAAGCCAAAAAAAAAGCCGAAAGAAAAAAGTAAAAAAAAGTATATTATTAATGACTTTGCTAAAATTATATATAGTTTATATATAATATTATAATTATAATAATAATAATATAATTATAATTAATTATAATTTATTATATATATGTCCATTATCTTGTTTAAGTACCTCATTCTTATCCAATTGATATTTATTTTAAAAAATCATTGATTATTACTTCCATTGTTCTTGTAAACCATTCATAAATATATATATATATTATATATTGAGGTTGCTTCATATTTGATATTTTATTCTGTTAGAGATAAAGATAAAGGGAAGAGAAAAGAAAAACAGAACAACCAGAACAGAATGAGAACTTGAATAACAAGCAGATATTGCACCACCAGGGAATGCTAACAATGATAAATGCTCTTGCCACTCTTTTTAATGTGTGTCTAACTTCAAGGCCAGAGTGTGGCCAATTTTCAGCACAGCAGTTTCATGCTCAAGACCAGACCACTTGGGGTAACTAGAACCCTCAGGGTTTTTTTTTTTCTGTTTTGACCTGCTTAGCATATTTTAATTAATCATATGTAGGACTAATCACAAAACATTGGTTGGATGATAATTAAAAAATATTCAAGGATGTGTATTATACTGCAGTAAAGATCGACAGTTCTCTCGGTGTGCAAGGATATATATATAGAAAACTTTTTTTGATACTTTTTAAAAATATTTTTAATTTTGTTTCATAATGTAACATTAACCCATCTCTGTGCTATTCTATCATTTTGTACAGCACACATTGCATACACACCACATTGATGTGAGCATCAGCATGTTACATTTTTCTTTTAAGTAGCCAAAGAAATGAACATCCCTCAAGAATTCTGATTAGCCATTCTGGCATCACCTGCATTTTACTAAAAAGGAAGCCAGGGTTGTAAATAAACCTCCATGATAAGCTGTCTGACTGAGATGTGTCTGTGGAAACCACTTTGCATGTGCACATGTAATGTAAATGCTCCCTGTTCTCTTTTAATGAAGGCTGCGTCCTCTCCTGTCATTCTGACATTGTAGCACAGTCCTGACTGTGTAAACTGGAAAGCTGACTTCCTCCTTCTACAGCAGTGGCAGCATCTCTGTGTTCAGATTCATATTCCTGTGTAGATGCTCTCCCACAGGGAAAGTGGCTTATGAGGATGCACTCGCATCAGAGATGATTGGAGTGACCTTTATTGAGACTCAAGTGTACTTTTGGAATTGTACTTCCAGTTCCAGGGGATTTCAGACTGAATGTTTGCACTTTACAATTTTGGTCTAAGTAAAGTAAAAACAGCAAAAGATGACTTGAAAGTTCATCAGATGGAACAAGGATGTAAATTATGAATTATGAATAAAACCTAGAATCATTTTATATTGGCATATGAAAAGACTGACATATTGGTGATTGAAATGCAGTATGAAACAATTAGTAAAAATGTGTAAAGTTAAAATTACTGGACTTAGGCCCAATATTGTGCTTAGGTAAGAAGCAATTCATTATTAGGGATATACTTTACATTTCCACAGATAACAGCATTGGACACTATAGAATACCAGCAATGTAGATATTGCAGTATACAGTATATGAAACAATGTTCAAAGGCACAAAACTGTGACATTGGGAAAATAGTTTTGACAATAATGTTTAAAAATCGCACTCAACAAACGAATCAGGACATCACTACTGTAATAGCGGCCTCTATAGGTGAGATGGGGGGGGGGGGCCTGGCATTTGCTTTTAAGGAATTTTCAAACGTTAGTTCTTCCTGGTGTACGCCTTTTCTTTTCAAACACATTGTTACAATGTTTTAACCCTTTTTTGGGAGAAGAAAAAAAAAGAGAGAAATGGTACAATCAGAGAATAATTGGGTGAAAAAGTCCTGAGATTTAACAATCAGTCTAGACATCATCAGCTGAAGCTCATTCAAGTGATTGATCAGCTCTGTCTGCATTATCTCCCTGGATGGGAGAGGCTGAAGTCTTTTCAGTCCTCTCCATTACTTTCTCATTGAGCCAAACCACACATTGTCTGAAAGCAGAGAATTTATCTTCTCACTTTCTCCTTAAGTACAGCTCTCCTCTGTAAAGTCTGCTCTTGCTCTTGGCTGAATGTTTGAAATGACAGCTTACCTGATGCCCGCTGATGAGGATGACATACCCTCAGATTGGCTTTTGTGCTTTTGCAGGCTCTTGCTGTCGCATTGAGAAACCTGTCACTCGCCTTTGTACTGTTCCTATACAGATGAAGCTGTGCCGTGTACCTGAATGTTTTTCCTTTATTTCAAATCTTCTCGTTTTTTTTTTTGCACGTCATTCAACAAAATGCTATTTATAAGTCCATCAACACAGATACATCTTGGAGTAATTTATGTCAATGTCTGGCAGTGCCATATGGGAAAGAGATTAGCTTCTGTCACGTGCAGACATCGACATAGCAGGAGGCAGTCAGGACTCACATGCAGTACTGGTGCAGGTAGTTTATTTGAAGGTTCTAAATTCCAAAAACTGGGACTAAAGCATACACAAAGTCGAGCAGAGCTGCGAACATGAAGAGAGTTGAGCACAGCAACAGACTTGCTCGGGAACAAACTAGGAACAGCTACAACAAAAAGCTCGACACAACGCTGGCACGAAGGATACAGCGCTCACAAAGACAGCGCTTATGAAAACAGTCACTAACTTACAACCTGGTCCAAACTACAATCACAATGATCCAACTACAATGATCTAACACTATGATCCAACAAGGGCAGAGTGAGGGAGCACCAGGTGACACAAGTGAAGCTAATTACAGACAGGTGAGTGTGATCACAAAGATTACCCCACAAAGCAGGAAAAGAAAACAGAGAGACATGACAGCTTCATTCCCTGAGGGGAGACAATATTGTACCATTTGTTTTTCATCCATTCGGATATTTCTAATCAAAATTTGTCGTGTGATCACTCATTTGATGTTGCATCAATTTATTTACTTGTCCACTAAGCATCCAACAGAGAGAACTATGTAAATTTGGATTTTCTTTTTTATTTATTCACTAAGTTCAATGTAAAACTCCAGACCCCTGAGCTACAGTATATCTAGCCGTTTGGTGCATACTCAACTTTTGGCTAAAATGATCTTGAAATAAAGCTGTTGACTACCCAGCTTTGCTATACACTTGTTAGTGCAACTAACATATGGCTTTTCTCACAGTTGACATGGATGTGCATAATTTTGATCTGACAAATAAAGTTGAGGAAAGTTGAAAAAATACACCATGACAGGTGGGGGACAACAAAAGAGGAGGGGAGGAAACTTTCAAGGTTCAAGTGATGATGGCGCACCTGCACTTTTATTTTCTGAATAATTTTTAACTTTGTATGTTTTGATGTTATTGATTTTGATTGATTGATTGATTGAGGTTACTTGGCTTTAGTTCAATAAATAGGAAATGTAATTTGTCACAATTTTAGTTAGGGTGACAGGGCAGGTGGGACATATAAAACCCCACTTGTTCAAAGTGGGGAATGACCTAAAAAGTTTGAGAACCACTGCTGTAACCTAATCGGCTGACAGCCAACTGTATGTTCAATGTTCTACCAATGGATCCAGACACACTCTTATTTATTTGCTCAGTGTATTCAACCTGCAGGCTGTAAAGGAAAAGACACATTAAGGCTCAGCATCAAATGTTGTTCGAGGGCACTAATAGGCCCCAGGGTCAGACTTTGGACACATAAGACCTAACATTACCCAATCCTGAAACCACTGCACCTCTGGTGGAAGACTAACTATTCTGTCGATCTTGGTTCAGTGAATTTTAATTGTCCCACTCTAGAGGGCCTACATATGTATGCTGCTCTTGTCATATTTATCCCTGTAGTCAAATGAAAGGTGTATGGATTGATGTTTGAGAACAGTACACCCCCACTTAGCTCTGAATCCAATTTAAATATAAAATTACCACATGAAATATTAAGCAATAGTCTAAATATTTAATGGGAGCCCTTTACCACAAGCCTGGTATTCATTACCATGCAGTGTTAGACTTTAATGGGCAATTTCCCCTGAGACGCTGTGTGGGCCTTTCTCTTTTCCTCAAAGATACCGCAGGGGGCGCTGTTGGGCTGTGGTTTTTCTCTGAACTCACCCAAAGCGTTTGTTGTTTTTGCAAAATTGGTCGTGCGAATCCATAGGTCAGATTTGTTTAATGTGGTAAAAAATGTATTTCTGTGTTCTGAGATGTTGACGAAGGTTTGGACTTGTTTAAAGAACTCAAATTGCAGCATGCATCATGTTTGTGTTATGACAGACAGCCTTCTAAGCATACTTTCCTGTTGGCACTTTAATACATTCTGCAAAAATAAATCCCATTGAATAAATAATAATAATAAAAAAAGTCAGCCAATAGGTGTCAGGCTATCACTACCTAACACAAGTTTCTTGGGCATCCCTACATCCCATGTTTCAAAAGTAATTCTGTTTATATCTGTGTTTAGTCCTAAATCACCGCTAATTTAGCATAAAGATATTTTGATATTACCTGAAAAGCACTGTAATTCAAAGCAGGACTCTGTGTTCAAACTGAAAAAAGGATTTAGTACAAATTTCTTCAGGAAGGGGATCATGAGACAAAATATGCAAGAAATGATGGTTTCAAAAATCAGAAGTGTAGCAGTAGAATGGAATGTATAAAACTATAGGGAGAGGGGATAAAAAATGTTTTAAAAAAAGCTTTATAGAGAGCTGCGGAGGATG